CATTTCCACTTAAGGACTTTATTGGGAAAATACCCAAAAAATTAAGAGATTGTAAGTCCTAAAATTCAGAATACAGCAAATGGCGACTTAATGAATTATACATTATATTATTGCTATTGGCAAATTTGCATTAAAGTAATACAACTTAAGTAGATTTAATATATAAAATAGAATCGCTTGAATTGGTGACAATATTTTAAAAGAAGTGTGAATCTGATATAAGGACATACCCCTAATATAATTAGATGAATGCTGTAGAAGCAGAAACTCTTGTTTAGTCCTGAAAATATTCATTAAGATGATTTCCAGTATAGTTTAACTTTTAAAGAGTTATTGAGCAATTTTATTGAGAAATTATTGACAGCAAAGCTGTTATTTATTTGAATCAGTTATCAATAATAAATTTTAAGAGAATATGACATCGAAAACTGTAATAACTTCTGAAGATTATCTCTACATTAAATCATATCCTTAAAGGATAACAAATGGGCTATTGATGCTTAAGCTATCTGATACGTCTAAGGAATTGATATTAACAATTGAGTAGAAACCTATATATAAAAAAAAATGCATATTTTTGAAGGCAAATTTCTCTATACATTCGTAGGAACTATGCAAAGATTTCGTTATATATATTTAATTTGAACTAATGCTAAAATTTTTAATATCTAAAACTTCTGAATACAGTAAAGTCATCTCAGGCAATCCATGTCCTCTCTATAATTTTATACCTCCTAGATAACATAATTGACACTCAAAATATATAATAGAGGAATAATATGAAATCTCTTATTATTAAATTAAAGTTGATAGTTGACCATTCATAAAAGAAAAATCAGTTAAACTTAAATGTAATTAAACTATTTCATTATATTTTATAATTTTGATTATTTATTGTTTATCATCATATTGAGTATTTAAAATATGATAATTTTCGATTTTTCCTATAGAGCTAGATTGCAAAGCTATTTCGGATTTCGAATATTCAACAAGATTATTTATTAAACTGCTATTCTTAATTTAAGTATTATTAATTGTGCCAACTTTGAGGTTTATGATATTAGATGAGAAAAAATTGGAGTTTTAACAAATTTTTGTATTGTCTAGAGTTAGATAAATGATATACAAAGATGATAAGCTAGAAGAAAGAAGGAAAGCTGAGTTTTGGTAAAATTGCACATTTGAAAATTAAATTTATTTTATCAATAAAGATCCAGTAGTATAATTTAAGAGCCCTTAACTAGTGATAAACTTGGAAGAAAAAAATATTGTATCTGTTATTGAAATTAGATTTAATTATGAATCATATGGCAGATTATTATGATTGGCTTGAAATTTAATTAGAGTTGAATTGAAAAAGAAGGAATTCTTAATTTAAAAATTGGTTATTTAAACTGAGTTTTTAGGAGTCTGCTCCAAAGATATAAAAGTAAATATTTCAGATTATGAAACGTAAAAGTTTGTAATTGTAAAATTTTATAATTCTAGAGAATAAGGGATGTTAGATCTTATTTATAGAGAGTAATTTCTATATGTATTGTATGGCATTGTAAAAATACAATTTTGAAAGCTTAGTATCAATTATAATCGCAAATTAAATAAAGTTATAAAAAATGAATCCCTACTAGATAATATTTTATCAAAATTAAATTTTATATTCTTAAAAGTAACCTTAGTATAATTACTTAAGGTAATTTCATTAAATATCGTTAAAATAGTAGGGCTGGTTTGGCCTTCAAAAATGATGTCAACTTACTATAATGTGAATATATTTTATTATAAAAGTGAATAAATTGTTAAGTCTTCTTCTAAGATGCATTCTAATTGAGTGCCCTATATTAGAGTAAATTAAAATTCCATATTCCTGACTTGAGCTTCATTCAAATACTTATAGAGTAACTAAGATTCAAAATGATTAAGATAATCAGAATAATAAAAATCACTCAATAAAATGTTCTTTTGTTTAAATTAATCATCCTTATTATCATTGAGTAACTAATTAAATTAATTTGAATCACAAAATACATTTTATTAAATTATAAATCTATTATAACAAGGTATGTTGTTTGTGCAAACTGTTATTGTTTAGGTTAAGAAATCATAATAATAATTATCCTACTTTTTAGATTTTTCATAGCATTTTCTGGAATATTATGCATTTTCATCATTTTAAATATAATATGGGTTAATTTCTGAAATTTCCTGTTGATTTCTTTCTATACAAGCAATACAATATGAAGGACACTGAAGACATTCTCCATTGTTATTTCTGCTCTTGAGAAACCCTTAGTCAGTTTCTTGACATTAAATGCATGTAGCTTTTCCATCAAGAATTTTGCATTCAATACAACTCTGTTCACATCCTTTAATACATTGCTATTGATAGAGAATGTATTATAATTAGCAGGATGTGCAAATAATTTCAAGATCAGATTGAGCCCTAGACTATCCTTAATCTTCAAAGGAATTATCACTGTTAAAATTTATGAGTTATTTATAAAATGCTTTTACACTCCATTTCCAATAATCCTTGAAAATGCTATTTTGCTGTAAACAAGTCTTACAATTATTAGTACATAATTAACATTATCCAGTCAGTACTCCCGAGTAGTATCCATCTTCACATTAAATACAATAGGATTCATTTGCACTATATTGATGAATACATTATTTGCAGTACTTAAGGGATGAACAAGAGTTTACTTAAACAGCATCATTATTTTTAAGACTGATTATACATACTTTTTAATAAGTTGAAGCTAAGATGAGAGCAAATTCACAATCATCATCAATTTACTTTAACTCACATTTATTTGTATTTTAATTAAAGTGATAGTTTGGTTTGCATAAGGCACAAGCAGTAGTAATTTAATTTGTAGAAAAATTGTATATATTGAAATTCATTTCTAATGTTGTAGAATATTATCCAGATATAATTACATATTCAAAACAATAAACGCAATTTTCAATATTGCATTCTTTGCAATTTTTTCCATCTATAGTTAAATAATATTTGGAAGGATCTCCATTGCAAAACTTGCAATATCCCTATTAGTCACAACTATTGCAATTTTATCCACATTATACGCACTCATTATTTTATAATACTTAATCGTCTTCACAATAACTGCACCATAAAAATTCTTCATATAAAAAGCATCTTTTACAATTAGGACATTTTATGCATTGATTTTCTCTGCCTAAATAATGTCCTTCCTGACAACTTTCACATGTATAAGAATTTAAACAAAAGTAACAATTCTAAATACAAGGAAAACATTAACCTCCCATAAAATAATATCCTGGCTTACATTATTCTATTGTCATGCATCCGCAACATAATTTAGCTATGTATGTTTAATTGAGATTCAATTTCATTTCATAAAAAGTCACAAGGTTATCATCTCTTTGAACAATTTCATAGGAGTATTTTGAATTAAAATAAAATGTTTTTGCATCCATTGTACATTTTAAAGACTAACCAAAAGTAATTGGACTCGAATAACAATCGAAGCAACTTAGAAAAATATCATCATATGTTAAGCTCTACTCTGGACTAATATAAATATACTTATTATTACCATTTAACACATTAGTTTTAAAATAGAAAATATCCAAAACTACACTCAACATTTGATCCATCGCATCTACTGTAGCCTTCTAAATTGCAATTTAATTCAATCTCTTATTTTGTAAGATATGAAAATGCTTCAGCTACTGATACACATTCTTCTTGGTCTTTTACATCCACAAATCCTTCCTAACAATTACAAGTTTTTCCAGTTCTAGAAAATTGTCTATGACTATTTTCGTGACAACTGAGACAGTTTAAAGGTGTTGGACCATCACAATCTAAACATGAATAATCACAACTAACTACAACCACAGGAACTTCAGGCTAGCAATATAAATAAAACTTAATATCACTGACATATCCTCTAAGATATGATTTCACATAATTATCCCCTCCAATAAATATGTAGTATGTAGCTCCAGAAAAGTGCTTTATAATTTTATCCCAAATGTATTTATAGTATTAATTTTCAGAAGGAAAATATAAAGTAAATTATGGTTAGCCATCATTATTCAATGTTCCTATTTCAAATGAAAAATAATGCCAAGTAATAAACATGGAAGAATACTGGTCGCCATATTCAGAAATTTTATCATCCTCTTAAGTCTTATATCTCGATTTTACTGGAAATGCGTAACTGTAAGTGGAAATTTTAAAACCATTTTCCCCTGGAACACTACTCTGAAAGTATTTCAATAAAACTTCTCTATCACCGATATAAGAATCATCACTATAATTGTAATTAATAGTTATTCTAAAAATTGTTGTTTCTAGGAAAGGTAAATTTGGCACGTCTAGTTTTATCCATCCTTGGATCTAGTAGATAGGTATGTTGAGTACTGATGTTTACATCTGAATAAGATCGAATCCACTCATATACTAAATTTTCTGGCTCATATTATATTCTTTACTATAGCAAATATCATATTTAATAAATTAATTAACGCACTATTCTAAATCTAAAAGAATGTTCTAATTATTTGATGTAAATAAATTTGACATAGACCCAATAAACTAAGTTAGTTACACTCGATCTCCATTTTTGTTTTTGTATGAATATATTCCACCAACATTATGTCTAATTTGGCTCACAAATGATGGTGTATCCAAAATTTAATATGTTTTTAATGGTTCATGATTGTTATAGATTCCAATTGTTGTTATTTTTGTAAGAAAATCAAAATATGCATAACACAAAATCCATATACCTTCAATTATTGTATATGTATTGAATTATATTAAACCAGATGATTTAGCAAATGAATAGTAGATACTGTGTTGAAATCTTTAATCAATCTAGTCAACTACTAATGAAACAACTAAAATTTAGATATTGTTCTCCCTTTGTTTCATTGAATATATAAACTACCCTCCTCATAAAATTCAGCAATTTCCAACTAAAAATCAAATTCTATTGGTATTCTCTTCATCTAATTGTTATAAAAAATTAATTAGCCTCGATAAAGCGAGAGTATTCACCCTTATTCAATTAATGCAATATTTGAATTCTCTATAGATAAATTTATTTCACCAAATATACTTTTAAACTCCCTCCAAATGTAAAGTATTATTTTTAATTCTTATTAGGAAAAATAAGTTAAAGAGTTTCTTTAAATATCTAATTTGTTTAAAAATAAATTGCTAATTCCACATTCTATTTCTAGATATTTGTGATAATTAAAAAAAAATACCAAATATCCTCATATTCTTATGATAAAATTTGTAATGAAAATATATATTAATCAGTCTAACTCAATTCAATTTAGATGAATTTTTTGATTACTTTTTTGATATCATAAACACAATCATATTAAATAAAATTGAGACTTGAAGTAGGATAATCAAATGAATTTATTATTTAAAAGTAATTGCTATCGAAAAACCCATAAGCATCCTTCGATTTTGTATTAGTTAATAGATTATATTTCGACCAAATCCCAAAGGTTAGGCAATGATAATCTGATTAGTCTGCTTCAATTTATTCAACCATTTGGATATCCATTAATCTTTATCTGCTTAGAATTTGATTAGATAAAGAATAGTACCCCTATAATAGGTTTATCATCAAAAAAGCGAGTATCATTTGAGAATTAATGAAATTAAATAAATAATCAATATTAAAAGGTAATTACATTTAAAGTAATTTATTCTTCTCCAAAGTAATAGGATTTCAACATAAATGTTTTAATAGTGAGATATACTATGATTTAGAATTCATTATTGAATTTCTTCAA